CAGGAAGTATTTTACCAATTTTAATCGGGTGGGAAAGGGGTTTTGCACACCATGTCTAATAGCTTGGGAGTTTTGCCCTTTCTATTTTATTCATTTTTTTTCCTATTTAATGGAATTTAATGGCATAGTTGGCAAATGTTGACAGCGGACGGTATTTTGAATAAAAGGTTTCAAACAAGGACCTTTTCAGCGGATTTCAATTAGTAGAGGGTATTTCACACATGATCAAGTTTGTAGAGGGTTCTATGCTATTAAACCATTTTTAATCAATATTGTAATAATATTTAGGGAAAATTGCAACAACAGTCTCTAACCTTTTCATTTTTTGCAAACTTTATCGTAACCTTCATTTTTTGTCAGCGGAGGTTCCTAACCTTTCATAAATATGCACCTGAGGTCCATCTGGACGAAAACCGTCCAAAACACTATCAATTGATCGAAAAATTAAGTAATCAACATCCAATAAAATTGTCGCGGTAGCAAATAGTTCAAGGAATTTTTTTGGTCAATTGATGGTGTTTTGGATGGTTTCTATCCAAATAGACTTTAGGTACATATTTATAAAAGGTTAGGGACATTCGCTGGTACAAAATGAATGTTAGGGTAAAATTTGTAAAAATGAAAATATTAGGGACTGCTGCTGCAATTTTTCCCAATATTTATAGTTAGCGTCTGCAACAGTCTCGTTATGTGACAGTTTGTTATTTGAAATATTAATATTATGTAATTCTATTACATCAAATAACAAGTTAGTACCTTAAATAATAAGTGGCTATATCGGATGACTACTAAAATCACCAACTATGAATAACACTACTCTAATCAATAAATCTCGCCATGGACGATTGAGTCATTAAATACATGATATATAGAATAACTACCATAGTCACTCGCTATAAATAGTATTACTGTAATGAAAATCATGTTTTTCCCTTAAATAATCACAAAAATTAACTATACAAGGTTGGACAAAAAATAGTTAAAGGAGGAACAAGCATCAATGCTTCACACTTTGTACTTTACTCATCTTTGCTTTGTCTTATATAATCCCCCTTTTTACCTGAGCACCAGAGGCCCTAAGCTAATAGCCCTGGGTATGTCATCTAAACCTTGGTTATGAAAGGACCTAAGCGGAAATAAAAAATGCACTCAATGGTACATATGAGGTAATAAGTTAATGGCATAGTTGGCATATGTTGACGGTGGAGGGTATTTTGAATAAAAGGTTTCAAACAAGGACCTTTTTAGGGTTTTTCATTAAGTAGAGGGTATTCCACTCATGGTCAAGTTCGTATGGCATTAAATGAGTTAATTCCTTAAATAGTTACTTAACTTTACCAAAAATTCCCAAGAGGTCCCTGAACTTCAAAACTTTCTTAAATAGTCACTGAACTTTTCAAAAAGTTCTCAAAAGGGCACTGAACAAATAATCACCGAACTTTGCAAAAAATTCCTAGGAGGTTACTGAACTTTCCAAAAAATCTTAGGTGGTCATTAAATCAGTGATGTATGGGGTCTCAATTTGCATAGTTCAGTGACCTCCTAGGAATTTTTTGTAAAGTGTAATGACTATTGAAGGAAGTTTTGAAATTTAGTGACCTTCTAGGAACTTTTTATAAAGTTCAGTTACTATTTAAGAAAATCTTAAAATTCTATGACCTCCTAGGTACTTTTTGGCAAAGTTTAGTTACTATTTGGGAAATTAACCTGGCATTAAACCATATTTAATAAGTAGTGTAATAATATTTATAGTTAGCGTTTGCAATGGTATTTTTTTGTGGCAGCTTGTTATTTGAGGTATTAATATCATGTAATTCTATTACCTCAAATAACAATTTAGTACTTTAAATAATAAGTAGCTATATAGGATGACCACTATAATCGTTGACTATGAATAACATTACTTTAATCAATAAATCTCACCATGGTTGACTAAGTGATTAAATACATGACATATAGAATGACTACGGTAGTCACTCGCTATAAATAACATTACTCTGATGAAAATCACGCCTTTTACCTTAAATAATCACAAAAATTAGCTATACAAGGATGGACAAAAAATAGTTAAAGGAGGAACAAGCATCAATGCTTGTACTTTTCTCATCTTTGCTCTCTTATATAATCCCCCTTTTTACTTGAGCACCGAGGCCCTAAGATGAAAGCCCTTCGGGTATGTCGTCTAAAGCTTGGTTGTGAAAGGACACAGGGGGAAATAAAAAATGCACTCAATGGTACTTATGACGTAATAAATTAATAGAGGATTCTCTGAAAGGAATATTCTTTTCTTTTATATAATTCATGAAATAAATACTAGTTATTAGAGCGATAAGACGCATTTGTTAGAGAAGTAAAGTGAAATTCAATTTTCATTTATGCATGCTAAAACTTAAAAAGCAAAATTGATCACTCTATTGTAAATGGACAATGTACGTGCCCCACCCCACATGGCCACATTCTTGATCATGCAAACTAGTAACTTACACGTTTTTTAAAGCATTGGTCATACGCAATGCAACTAGTCTTCCACACGCTTTCACGCACCTATGTACTTCAATGCATACAAACGGTAGACTTTCCTTGTCAACGGAAGTTTTTTGGAAATAAATATCACAACCATGCTATAAGTATAGATTTTTTTTGACAGAAATACTTGACACGACACCATTGAAAAATGGGAAAACATAAAAAAAAAAAAAAAAAAGGCCAATCAGGTTTGGCAATGTCAATTTTGACATCCATTCTGTTAAAATTTTTCTATACTTGGAGTTTTATTGTTATATTCAGGCTATATTTGGTCCTCATTTTTCAAAAAATTATTTTCAATCACACAATCTCCTATAAAAAAATTTTATACGCAAATTCAAAATTTTTTCTTACTTTTTAGTTACACATTCTTTAACAAAACACTATTTTAAAAGAGTAATGTCATTTATCCACACTGAGATGATTACCCAAGTCTATGTGATACTAATATGATATTAAATGATAGGTTAAATGAAAGTCATTAAATTTGTCATTTAATACCACATTAACACCACATGGACCCATTTATAATCTCTACTAGGGTTAAATAACATTATGCATTCTCAAACAAAGGCTCAATGTATTTATATTTTCATTCTATTTTAATCAGACAATTGTAAATCAATTTTGTTCAAATAGGTAACCATGTTTTTTAATTTGATTTCGGATAAGATAATTTTGTCCAATTATACTAACAATAACTGATGATATGACGATCATTTATTGAAACAAATCGATCAAAATATTGTACTTAATACATGTTTGACTTCTGATTAAATTAAACTTTAAGTGATTAGATCTTGAACTATAGCTTTAATAGTTGCAAATTTTATGAAATATGTTTGATAAAAAATAATTATAAATTATAATTAGCCAAACACGCACTAATAGGCGTCAATGTAAATCAAACTAACATTATACGAAAATATAGTAGAGTGATGGGGGCCGTTATCGCAGTTAACACCAAATTAGCGGTCAGAAAGACGACGGTGCCGTGAAGAAACAAGTGTACGCCGCCGTGGCTGACCACATGGCAACATGTCTTCCCATTATACCCCACGTGTTCTGTGAATACAGATCGAAAAATGAATCAAATTTGATTCTATAAGGTTCGATATTCGTCATTATCATGAATTTCTAGAATTGGGATTTTGTCCAGTTTGAACTTTGATACAGAAAGCTGCGAGATTCATTCCAATTTCTTAGACTCGATTTTGCTACTCATATACCAAAAATACCCTTTCTTATCAACTGTGTATTCAAAAAAGGTTGAACCCCAATCTTGAGGGTTCTCACTGCTCCGTTCCTAGAGCTTTGAGAGAGATGTAAATCGTGGGATGTGTCCCAATAGGTCAGGGAACAAGAGCTGTCTGTACACTACGTCTATAAAAAGTCCAATTCCATATCTCAGGAATCGAATCCCTACACTGCGGCTGCTAGCAAGGCGTGAGATAACCTCACTCCTCCCTTTTGCACCACTAGATTATACTCCGGAGGACTTATCACCCGTGTATTCAGTATTATAAAAGTAGATGCGTCATTGATGTTTAAAAGACTTCAATTCCATTGGAAGCCATAGTCCCAAATGGCCAATGAACAAACTAACATTAAACTAAACTAAAACTCACATTCCATTCTTATCCATATACAAGTGGGATTAGGTTAATCATCATTTATTTATCTATAACTATACATTGCTTTCCTAGAGTCATACATTAATTATTTATTCTTTTCCCCCCCCCCCCCCCCCAACAAATAATGGACTCAAAACCTTACTAGAACTACGTAAACCAAACTAATAAATCAGACTCAACACGTCGATTCAATCGAAATTATTAAATGTGGTCCTCCTGTTTGTTTTAACCGAAGAGGTTAATAAAAATAAAAATTAATAATTAATTTTAATTATATATTTCATAGGCCTACAATTTTTTTTTTATCTATTTTTAATATTTTAAATTAAATAATTATCCAAATTTAATAAAAATATTAATATTTTTAGCTAAATCAAATGGAGCTTAGAGCCCATTTGACATGATTTTTTAAAAAATCAAAAGGAGTTTTTAGGATCCAAAATTTGACTAATTTTATGAAAATGTTTCTTTTAGTTACAAGAGTTTTAGAGTTCAACGTAACTTACTCTAAAACCATTCTCGAAATATAAAGCTTTTTAAAAATTAGTTTTTAAATAAAAATTAAGGTACTTTACCTAAATGCTCTTTTATAAGAAGCAAAAGCTAGTCAAACAACCCTTAGTCAGGTTCACACGCACAACATTCGTCGAGCAATTTACACTTTATTTGTTTTTCATTCTTTCAAAACTCTTTTCTATGTACTCATTTTTAATTAAATATTAGCACAATAAAATATTTTACACAATAAGATCTATATGTTTTCCAAATTTTTTAATTGTACATTCTCAAAACTTCGTTATTTAAAGCAATGTTCTATAAATATGATCAACAAACGATAGCTAAAAGAAGCAGGCACCATAAATTCCGTTATTTCAAGTGAGCATTTTGGTCATTTTGTTTGTTAAAAGAGAAACCAATTCTCTTCATTCACAAGGAAAGCAAGTTATTAATCGGAAAGAAGAACAAACACGGAACCCCTAAAAATTCTGCTCTGCTTATTCTCTGTGATTAGCTCGATAATTCCTCAAGAATCTTTGCTTTTTTCCACAATTCACACTCGAATTGAAGGTTTTACAATTTATGTACATGTAAACATAAACAGCAAAAGGTGAGAAGATAGGGTCTGAAATTACTGTAAACGATAACAATCACAGTGTGATTGTGTGAGTTGAAATTTGATCACAGTTTGAAATATGGTGGTTCCGACGATAGCTCTTTACGCAACTCCACCCAGCAGCGTGTGCTCAGCGCCTCACTCATGCCAAATCAACTCTCACGCATCGTACGATTTCGATGTTAACGGCCGGTCAACGTCGTCTGCATCTGCTTCAGCATCTCCGTCTCAAAAACCCATTGTCGGTGGCCTCTCCTGCCTATTCTCATCTCCAGCAATGAAATCATCGAGTTATTCTGGTGGAGCTGAGGAATTAGGGTCCTTATGGCACGACAGGACAGAAGAATTGAGCTCCTCTTTTAGATATACATCTTTAAAGAGAGACCAGGCACATCAGAGCCCGGTTTCTGTGTTTCAGGGCCCAACAACTAGTACAATTGGATCGTGTTCTCGAAGCTCACCCATGAGAATTAGCGGGGATTTGCATTCAATAAGGTCTGGGAGTACAGGTTTATTCAGTAGGTTCGTGAGGCGCGCGTTGAATTCTTTCGTGGATTGTGATTCTTCACCTACGGGTTTTGATGTAGAGCATTTAGATCCTTTTGTCTCATCGAATATATGGGCAGATGAGCTCACGTTTAACATGGAGGATAATCTCACGGAGTTGGATATCCCGCCTTATGCTAAAGACTTGCTTTATGATGCTCAGTCGAGACATACGATCTTCCGTGATGATTTTGTTGTTAAGGCGTTCTACGAAGCTGAAAAAGCTCACAGAGACCAGGTACTTTAAAATTTAACTTTCTAGTTTTTGTGTTTATATGCAAGATAGCTTATAAGATTGTGGTGTTGTCCATATTTGTAGATGCGGGAAAGTGGGCATCCTTATTTGCAGCATTGTGTGGAGACGGCGGCTTTTCTGTCGATAATTGGGGCTAATTCTACCGTTGTTGCTGCAGGGCTTTTGCATGACACGGTTGATGATTCTTTTATGACTTATGAGCACATTTCCAGGAAATTTGGATCTGGGGTTTCTGATTTGGTTGAAGGGGTAAGAGAAATTGGATGTACTTAATTTTCTGTTTTTTAGGTTGGTTTGGGGCACAATAGATCGAATGATGGTGTTATGAAATTCTATATAGGCTTTATACGATGATGT